AACCATGTTTTCAAAAAAAAAAAAAAAAAAAAATTGACCCACTTTTGGGCCCAGCCGGAATTCCAGTTGGACTCCCAGGGGTCCAACCGGCCGGTTGCCGGCACAGCCCTGCCATAAAGTGGCTTTACGAACCAGTCCCAACCACAACGTGTTTGGCTTGGTCAAATGGGAAGCCTCAGGGATGTTAGTCCAGAGGAGGAGGTGCATGGGGTGTTCCGGGAATGAAGAAGAAAAGTGGTGGTCCCATAAATCAGATGCCCTTGCCCATAGGTCTGTTGCTTCTTTACATCTAATTAGACGGTGGATTATGTCTTCTTGTTCTTCGTCTGAGTAAACTAGGCATAAGTCGGAACTGGTAGGGTATTTTTTGTTGTGTGCCTGATTGAAAACGAATCCAGCACAGCATTCACACATTCCTCATACACATGAGCAATGTCAAGTAGACTTGGAGAGACCATTCCACAACGAAACCAGATAAAGGGAAAACACAGAGGAAGTTCACAAAATCCAAAATAGAATTGATTTCAATCAATTCTGATCGATACCATCTCTCCCCAACTCAATCAGCAGCACGAAATTCCCGAGATCCCATCCACGTTATAACACCCACGAACCAATCAGAAATACAGGTTCCTCGAATTGAATGGGACACTTCTTCTTCCTCCCTTCATCTCAAGCTCTAGCTATGACGCCACTCCAAACTCCGGCGCCCAACCAGTCAAGCCAACCAATTGCCACACACACTCCTGAACCCAACACGCCATTAGGCACCAACTGCAAAGCCCACTGCAGATGAAGTGTCCGCTCAGCAGGGGAGCACAGCTCCCGAGATGAAGAACACCAACTCAATGAAGACGAAAACCTGCCCAGTCGAAGACGACCTTGAAGAAGCTGCTTCGCAGGCAGCTGCCAGTGTTTGTCTATCAGTGGCTACTGCCCAGCGCTGCCCCCACTGGCGCTCGCTGTCCCAGCTATGGCCACCACCCATCACGAAGGGAAGAGGACCTGCGCAACTGAAAATAGCGCTGCAACTCCCACATGACTTCCAAAAAGAAAAGTGGCAAAAGAACCCAAACAGTATCAACCTGACTACTCTTCTACCACGGCCTCTAGGTCCTATGACCGACCAAACAGCAACAGCCTACATCCCACCTGTATATGGATGGAAACAGGCCCGGAGGGGACCTAAAAAAAAAAACCACGGGCACACCAGTACCAAGAGCCAAAAGCAACGAACAGGGCCTGGGACCCAAATGGGCATTTCCAAAACTACCCCTGAAGAGACCATCAGGCGCAGGCTAGCAGTTAGTAAGTTTTTTAATCTACCCTACTTAGTGTACAGCCCGCTAAAACTGCAAGTCCATTGCATTCTTACCCCTTCCGGGGAGCGAAGACCCCGAGCTAGGATTGTCCACGAGGAGACCATCTGAGCAACTGCCCTTTCTGTTCAGCCTCGTAGAAGCGCACGACTAAATACTTGAGAAGTGCTTTCCTAGTAAACCAACGATCCCCTCTACGAGGTTGGAAACGGAACTTCACAAGGTATTCACAGTTGGGGCCTGTGCCCCACTGATTCTCTATGCTCTCAACTTCATACCCCTTTCCAAGGATAGGAGGTCCAAAGACTCCAAACTGCGGTGGCCTGTCAGGAAATGCAACAGCAGGAGTGAAAGGCTGCAATTTTGAGGCATTGAAGACTGGATAGGTCTTGATACGAGGGGGTACAACAAGTACATAGGAAGGTCCAAATGAATCTTCCCCCACAGTATCAAGCACCTGCCATGGATCATAGTAAACATGCAACAATTTTCTTGATATATCTTGTTCATCAGTCAGTTCAGATCTCTTCACCCAGACCCAATGATACAGCCTATACAGGGTAAAGCCTATAGGGGTGTGAACAAAGTTATACATCAGTTGTGCCCTGGACAAATGTTTGTCCCAATACTACTGATCAGATCTGATCAAGACGCAGCAGCTGAAACAAGACTAGGCTCATCACTTCAGCCTATCCATTGGCTTCAGGGTGCGTTCCAGATGCCATGTCTAGTTTGGAATGAAGGTAGTCTTTGCAGAAAGACTGTCAGTCATCGTTGCGAAATCTGGGATCTTTGTCACTGACAATAGAGGTTGGGCAACCATGGACATTCACCCACCTCTCATAACAGAGCTCTTTGACCAAAGGCACTTTGGCCTCAGCAGGCAAGGGAATAAACTCAACAAACTTACAGACACGATCAACACAGACCATTACCTGTCTCATGTCTGTCTCTTATACACATCTAGATGTGTATAAGAGACAGACACAGACCATTACCTGTCTCATGTCACGTGGAGTAGCAAGTTTTTCTGGTGCATTTATTGTAATAGCTTTTGTGAACATAGTAGCTAAATAATCCCATCGTGTTACATAAGTCTTGTGTAGATCAGTAAAGTCTATAGACACAGACTCACTTGTGCCATCAGGGATAGGTAAAGGTTGGAGTACTCCCATAGGAGGCCATATGTGGACCTTATTCCTCTGGCACAACTCACATGCATCCTCTTTCATTTTAGACCAGTAGAAGCGCTGAGTCAGGGTAGCATAGGTCTTTAGGAACCCAAGTGACCACGAGCATCATGACTCTCTGAAATCAGATGAGTGTCATTAGAGATGCACAACCCCTCGCTGATTGTATACAACAAGTCTGTGGTGAAGGCATAGCCTGACTCGGAATTGGGGTATATCCTGACTCAGATTGGGGTCAATTTGCAGATTGCTAATAATGGGGCCAAGGACTGGGTCCTAAGGAAACGCATCTGCAATGGTCTGTCTGGTGAAATCCGCAAATGAGTAAGTATGTCACTGCAGTGGTCTGTCTGGTGAAATCCGCAAATAAGTAAGTATGGACAATGGCAGCAAAAACATCAGGCCTTCCTGACAATGCATCAACCACTATAGCACCTTTTCTTGTGCTTTTCTCAAAGTCAAATTCATCAATGAACTAAATGTCTCTCACCAGTTTATCATTTAACTCGCCTTGGGTCTTCATCCATTGCAAAGTGGAGTCATCAAAGCAGATCTTAAAGTGTCTCCCAAGCAAGAAATGTTTCCACTGTTTGAGGGCACAAATGAAAGTATACAGTTCCTTCTCATAGGTGGAAGCCTAAATTCTTTGTACCTTTATCTTCGTACTTAGGAACTCCACTGGTTTCAGGTCAGTCCCATCATCTTGCTGAAGGACTGCACCAACACCATACTGACTTGCATTTGTAGTCAATACAAATGGCAAGGTAGGGTCAAGCAATTTCAGCACATGTGTGTCTAAGTCAAGGCTTTCTTCAGTCTGGAGAAAGCTAACTGACACGTAGGAGTCCATTTACAGGGGACATCCTTAGCCAGCAGGTTACTCAGGGGAGTGTCAATAGTAGAAATGTCCATGATGAACTTTCTATAGGAGGATGTCAAACCCATAAATCACCTGATGTCTCTAACTAACCATGCTTGTGGTCAGTCCCAAACAACAACAACCTTAGAGGATTATGCGGAAAGGTCATCTCCAAAGATTACATGGCCCAAAAACACAATCGAAAAGGCACCAAAATATTATTTTTCTTTGTTAACCTTGTATTTATGTTCTCTCAAAATCTGCAGAATTTTTCTCAGATGGTCAGTATGGTCTTCAGCAGTGTTGTTGAACACCAAAATGTCATCCAGACATGCAACAACAAATTTGTCTAGAAAAGGTCTGAATTTTTTTTTCATTTCAATTCGGAAGGTTCCAGGTACATTGCACAAACCAAAGGGCATGACCAAGAACTCATAGGTTCTAGACCGGGCCTTGAAGGTTGTCTTATGCACATCTTCTTCAACCATTTCGAACTTATGATACACGGATTTCAAATCAATTTTGTTGAAGACTTTGCAGCCTTGCACCATGTCCAACAAGATGTAGATCCTTGGCAAGGGCTCATCAATAAAGAGTGCAATGTAGGAAAATAGTGAGTCCCTTGCAGCCTCATAAAAATTAGGCTCAGTGTCTGATTCATCTCCTGACAGGGATAAATTCAGTTCACCAGAGCTAGTTGCAGCCTATGCTGGCCTGACTAGTTTTTTGACTGGCTGCAATTGTTGTGATTCGGCTTGGGGCAATCCTTCACATAGTGGATGCCCTCATACCTCAGATAAAATCCCTTGTCCTTCCTCTTCTACCAGACACCTTCTTGGATCTTCAAATCCCTCCAAACCAAAGAGGAAGGGTTCATGGGACTAACTAGGCATTTAGCAAACTAGGGGAGGCTCTGTTGTTGAGCAACACTGGGGCGTGTGCCTGGCCCCTTAGAACCTGAAGGCCTTTGTCCCAAGTACTGATTGCTTCTTGTGAAAGTCATCAGTGTCTGGGGCAGCATTTCAGCGGCCTAGTCTGGTGATACTCATGCACCCTCACCAGGCGGTGGAGTAGATCCACCCTGGCCATTGCCTGCAGAGTCATCATCAGACTCCATGGCATGGTTATCTCCCTTTCCCTTC